CCTTGTAAACACACCCATGCAGATGCCCACACGCAAGCACGAGCTGTCAGGTGTGAAAGAAGATTTCCTCCTCTTCTGTAGCCATTTTAGCACCACCCGCGCATTGGAACGTTGTCATTGTGCAGAGTGTAGAGTTGCCTTAAAGTGTGTGATTGGCTAGCTCTTGCTGAAGTCAGCCTTGTCCCTGTTCCTCCTGTTCAAGCTCCCCAGGGCTTCTGCTCAGCCATTGGGTCCTTTCGTAAACACCTGATGTCAGGTTCACTTCTGAATCCTCACTAGCAAACTGTTTTCTAGTTAATGCACGTTGTCCACGTGTGTGGAGTGGCTTAACAAAGATCACAAAGATGCTTGGAGCCTAGTAACACAGTGTTTTCAAACTGTGCATCTCAGCCCATTAGTGAATTGTGAAATCAAATTAGTGGGTGGCCACCAGCATTACAACACAATGAAATTAGAATTAAATAGGTCAAAATTCATCATGTAGTAAAGGCAGATGATGTTTTGTGAAACTTTTCAGCCATATATCTAACTATGAGACCTGGTTGCAGTATAAGATGTATTTCTTACTCAGAGTGTGGAGGGTCATGATCATAGCAGGTTGAAAACACCAGTAAAGGTTGATGAGATGTGTCTGCCTGGGCAAGCGGAACTCCTTGGGCTACATAGGTGATCTTTTTATTTTTGCATTTAATCTCAGATTACAGCATTGTTTCTGTTGCCTGAGCATAAACTTTTAACTGCTTCTTGTAGATAAACTGGTGCCTCTTTCCGTCATGGTGTTTGAGCAGGCAGTCTGTTGTAACGATGCCTAAATCACATATGCTTAACATAATAAAGGATTTATTTCTCGCACTCACATGACAGTCTTGTGTTTGTTGCTGTTGCTTGTGTGTGGATGGGAGGGGAGCTCTGCTCCATGTAGTGATTTGGGGATCCAGGCTCTGTCCCTGTCGTGGCTCTGTTCTCCACTGGCCTCCAGGAGCACATGGGGAAAGCCACACTTGCTCAGCTGGGAGACGACACATATCACTTCCACTCATGTATCCTTGGAGAGCCATGATCTCGTGGCCCCAGTCATGTGTGAGGGTCTGGGACTGTCTTTACCCCCAACACCCCCATCTTAAGCTGGGTGTGGCTCTGGTAATTTTTTTTTTTTAAACCTATATTTGCCCTCTGAACTCTTTTTTTCCCAGCCTAACCCATGGGCTTGCCTCTCCTGCCACAGAGAGGGAACACCTGAGGTGCTCCACTTTCAGCTTCAGGGCCACTGATGGGTCCTAAGTTATCAGAAAGCCTGGCTCTCCATCCGCCCGTTTCCCATCTGAGGTCTCCTTTAGTGCACAGCTAGATTGTGGTGCCTTTTTTATTTATATTTTTAAATTTTTATTTAGAAATAATTTCAAACTTAACAGAAAAATCAACCCCACCTATATGAACATTTTCCCCTGCTTGCCTGTGATTCATGCCCCCCACACACACCTGGGAGTGCCTGAGGTCCACGTTACTACTGTTGGTGATGATTCCTTTGCTCAAAGTACTGTTCAATTTCTCCACCTTATGGTTACTTTTCCCCCTTAGCTAATAAGCAGTCTGTGGGGAGACACTTTAAGATGATGCAAATACACTGCTTCTCACCAAAACGCCCCTCCGTTTATCCTCCATTGATGGCTCTTGCCATGATGGTTGCAGAGTTGTGGTTATCCGATACAGCTCTCCTTCCAGGCTCACCACCCAGCCCTGGGCATTCCGCTGCAAGCCAGCACCTCCTTTCTCTCCATTTTTGTGTTCTTAAAATCAGAACAGACTTACGGATTCCTGTGTTTTCAGTGGTTTTTCAAGTTTTATAACTTAGCACCACCCTTATTTTGGCACTCAAGTTGTCCCAGATGTGGTCAACGAGCATCCCTCCGAAAAGGCTCCTGCATCCCTGTGACATGCATCCACTTTTTGAACAATCCTTTTCTTTTTAGTATAATCTATTCCAAGCCCAAATTGTTTCTACCCTGAAATCAGCTATTTTCCAGTTCCAAAGAACTTGTTCCTTTTAGTGGGGATGCTGTGAGACCAAATCTGAGTGCCAGGTCTATTCATTGCTACTGGTGAGCTGGGAAATGCGTATATATGCACACACACAGCTACACAAAAAGGCCTATGTGTGCTCATATGCATGCATACACACATGCATATACAGCAATACCTCCATTTGCATTCTGCTACTCCCCGTATTTTTTATGTCAGTAGTGAGAACTCTAAAATCAGCATATTTACTAGTATGCTAAATTCTAAAATACCTCTCAGAATCATTTCAGAATTGGCTTTTCTCAAACCACTACAAAAACCAAACCCATTGAAAAGATGTCAGGATTTGTTTGCTCTTCCCCTGCCACGACCATCCTGACCAAGTCATGGTAGAACACACAAATGATTTGTTCTAGAGAGAAAATTTAGCCAGGTATTCCCACTTGTTAATCTCAGAGGACGCTGGGTTAGTTTAGGCATTAGAGGCACTGGGTTTGTGCGGAGGGTCTCCCATCCAAAGGGGTAGGGATATTGCTCATTGAGAAAGATGTAGCAGGGGCACCTGGGTGGCTCAGTTGTTCAGCATCTGCCTTCGGCTTGGGTCATGACCCTGGGGTCCTGGGATCGAGCCCTGCATTGGGCTCCCTGCTCCGCGGAAAGCCTCCTTCTCCCTCTCCCACTCTCCCTGCTTGTGTTCCCTCTTTCGCTGTCTCTCTCTCTGTCAAATAAATAAATAAAATCTTAAAAAAAAAAAAAGATGTAGCAGATGGAAAGCACAAGAAGGTGGCCCTGGTCTCTCCAATGGAGTTGGGAGGGCTGGAAAGTGTACAGATCATGGAGCTCTGAGCCACGACTCAAAAAGGACATGGTATCTGGAGGGCAAGAGAAAGCCCCAGATGCACTGGCACAAAGAACGGAATGGAGTTCCTGGCTAGTTTCCACAGGGTGTCCGAGGATGACTTCAGAGTGGGCAGGGAAGGGCAAATCCCACAAATGGAAAACTGGCAAGATGGGAATAAATTTCAGTGTGAAGAAGATGCTTAAATACCCTCTGTTATAGACTGAATTGCCACCCCCCAAATTTATACACTGAAGCCCTGACCCCTTCATGTGACTATATTTGGAGATAGGGCCTACAGGGAAGTGATACGGGTGGGGCCCTAATCCCATAGCATTGATAGCCTTATAAGAGGCAGAGCAGAGATTGCTCTTTGTGTGCATGGAAGAAAGGCCATGCAAAGACACAGTGAGAAGGTGGCTATCCACAAACTGGGAAGAGCAGTCTCATTAGAAACCAACCCTGACAGCACCTTGGTCTTGGGACTTCCAGCGAAGAACAACTCCAGAACTGTTAGAAAATTATTTACTGTGGTTTAAGCCCCCACCCTGTGGTACTCGGTTGTGGGAGCCTGAGCCGACTAATCAGGCCTTCCATTGTGATCTGGGTTGAGAGCTTTGTAAATCATTGTCAACCAGTGTGACTGCTTTGGAAAGCAAACAGCCCAATCACACTAGGAACCACTATGACATTTGTATACCTTGAGTCTTAAGTTTTAGCCATGATGAGTTTTCTTAAAAAATTAAAGCCAAGAGAAAAGCTACATAAAATGAGATGCTGAAATCCTTTCTGGCCCTAGGTGGGATATTAAAAGTATCGAGGAAACCACACGGAGGCCTGGTGGCAGTTGGACTTCTTACGTGGTGTCTCAGGGTTCCAAACACAAGCATCCCAGTGAGCAAGGCGGAAACTGCATGGCCTCTTCTGAATCTCTATTTCACACCCTTCATTTTTCCTTGTTGGTCTTCAACTTTTGTGTCAATTGAGACATACCAGCAACTCTCCAAGTAAGTGAGGCCCTCTGGTAAGGAATGTGCTTGCCCCTGCCATTTTTCTGACACTGTGGGTTTAACTTCAACTTCCTTCCACTGGTGCGGCCCTGCTAGGGAGGGAATGCTCGTCTCCGAGGGTGGGGAGATGTGATACTGTGGGCACCTCCTCATGGTCCCCAACTCTGGGCTGTATTCCTGTGTGTGTCATTGTGGGGGCAGGACAACAGGAGCTTGTGTGACTCGATTTCTCAGTGATCTGGCATTTTCAAAGGACTGCAAGTGTGTGGTTGGGTTCCATTTTTACTCAGCTGAACTCAAATAGAGGAGCCCTAACATGTTTTCCAAATGCAGTGTTCTCCGATGAGAAGTATCATCCTAGAGAGTCTGAACTGTGCACAACTGGCATGACCTGTTTTCTACACTAGATTCAGGGGTAGGAGCCTGTCATGCCATTTACTTAAAAAAGCTCATCTTCTCAGTACATCTGGTTCCCTTGAGGACAAGACGCAACACAAGGATAGAAGCCCAGGGAAAAGGCTGACCAGAAGACCGAGGCTTTTGAGCCACCCAGTCCAGTCCAGTCCAGCCACTGGCTGGCTCCCTCTGGCAAATGAACACCGGAAAGGAGGCTACAGCAAACTGAGGTGTGCCGCAAACAACATATACGCTGGATTTCAAAGATGTACTATACAGAAAGGAAGCAAAATACCGTATCAGTGGCTTTTTAGAGTGACACGTTGAAATGGTAACGTTTGGGATATATAGGGACAGATATTAATTTCACCTGTTTCTTCTTGCTTCTTAAATGGAACTATGACAATAGCTAAATTTACCAATGTGGCTTGCATTGTTTCTACCGGAGATGGCTGTTTTCTTAAGTGGCTTATAAATGAGTATGAGATTAATTCCAAAAAAGGGAGAGGAGGCATTGCACAAGCATATACTGGGGACGGTTGGAAGACTATCTGTAATGTCCTTCCCCCAAGGGAGAAATTTCAAGTTAACTGGAAACATATCCCAGCATTATGACTGGAAAACCAAGCCTGATATAACCCTGATGGTTGGTGACCAAATCCAGCCAATGTAATTTAAATATGGGTTCTAATGAGGATGGCAAGTCACCATTCAAGGGTCGTGGTTGTCAGAGTGACTGCTGTTAGTGGATTCAGGATTTAATGTAATACTATGGACCTTCAAGATAAATTATACAAAAACAAAAGCTTGTCTAAAAACCAGGAAGAAGAATCAATGAAAACAGTCAAGAGAGGATTACCTTGTACATTTCTCAAAAGAGATAAACCTTGCAAAACATAAGGTTCCAGTGTGGAGGTGCTGTTGTTCATAAGATGGTGGCTTAACAAAGGGTATCTTCCTTTTTGTGAAACAGCAACATCTGTGTTTCTAATGCCTGTGAGTCCTGTAGAAAAATTTATAGTCACCTTGCACCATTCATAAGCACCCCTCCCAAGAATGTCATGTGCAATAATGATAAATTCTGAGTGTATCTGGTTCTTGTATATAAAAAGCATCTGCTTTGAAAATCTCTAGTTTGGAATATCGTGAATCCTTGGACAGAAGCCATCTCCAGATCCGCTTTTTTTTTTTTTTTCCCATTTCTCTTTTTTCTAGGTTCTATGATGTAGCATTAGTGGGCACTCATGACTGAAGGTCCTCAACACTGATTAACTCCACATTTCCCTGCTACTGTCTGGATGATCTGGTATCCAGGGATGGATGACCCAGAGTTCCACGTTCCCATAGTCATTTCCAGCACTTCTCTCTGAGGGTGTGTGGGGCACGTTCTGTGTGCAAAGGCTTGCATATGCATAAACTTGTACTGTTTCCACTGAGAATGACTGGGTCAGGTCTAGTAAGGGAGGAGCTAGACTTAAGGCCTGCCCATGTCCCGGCGAGTGTGATGTGGGCCTACCCAGTATGAGTTCTCTGGTGCTTGGTGAGGGACGAGCTGTGTGTGAAGGCCTTCCCACAGTCCCTGCACTCGTAGGGCTTCTCCCCCGTGTGGATCCTCCGGTGCTGAGTGAGGTGGGTGCTCTGCCGGAAGGATTTCCCGCAATCCTGACACTCGTACGGCTTCTCCCCCGTGTGGGTCCGCTCGTGCTGGCTGAGCGACGAGCTGTGGCTGAAGGATTTCCCACACTCGTTGCACCCGTAGGGCTTTTCCTTGGTGTGAATCCTCTGGTGTTCTACGAGAAGGGAGCTCTGGCTGAAGGCTCTGCCACAGGCGTTGCACTCGTAGGGCTTCTCCCCCGTGTGGGTCCTCTGGTGTTGAATGAGGGGGGCGAGCTGGCTGAAGGCTCTGCCACACGCGTTGCACTCGTACGGCTTCTCCCCCGTGTGGATCCGCTGGTGCTTGGTGAGGGACGAGCTGTGGCTGAAGGCCTTGCCGCAGTCGCCACACTCGTACGGCTTCTCCCCGGTGTGGGTCCTGCGGTGCTGAGTGAGGTGCGTGCTCTGCCGGAAGGCCTTGCCGCACTGCCTGCACTCGTACGGCTTCTCCCCCGTGTGCGTCCGCTCGTGCTGGCTGAGCGACGAGCTGTGGCTGAAGGCCTTGCCGCACTCGCGGCACCCGTACGGCTTCTCCCCGGTGTGGGTCCTGCGGTGCTCAGTCAGGAGCGTGCTCTGGCTGAAGGCCTTGCCGCACTCGCGGCACTCGTACGGCTTCTCCCCCGTGTGGGTCCGCTGGTGCTGAGTCAGCGGCGTGATCTGCGCGAAGGCCTTGCCGCACTCGCGGCACCCGTACGGCTTCTCCCCCGTGTGGATCCGCAGGTGCTTGGTCAAGGACGAGCTGTGGCTGAAGGCCTTGCCGCACTCGCCGCACCCGTACGGCTTCTCCCCCGTGTGGGTCCGCAGGTGCTGGCTGAGGTGGATGCTCTGCCGGAAGGCCTTGCCGCACTCGCCGCACCCGTACGGCTTCTCGCCGGTGTGAGTCCGCTCGTGCTGGCTGAAGGAGGACCTGAAACTGAAGGCCTTGCCGCACTCGCCGCACTCGTACGGCTTCTCGCCGGTGTGAGTCCTCTGGTGCTGGATCAGCGGGGCGATCTGGTTGAAGGTTTTCCCACACTGAGTGCACTCGTAAGGCTTCTCACCGGTGTGGATTCTCTGGTGTTTGGTAAGTGCTGAGCTGTTTCGGAAGCCTTTTCCGCATTCGTGACACTCATAAGGTCTCTCTCCTGTGTGCGTTCGGTGGTGCTCAGCAAGTGCCGAGCTGTGACTAAAGGCCTTTCCACATGCCTGACATTTGTAGGGCTTCTCCTTTGCATCTGCTTTCTGTTGAGCACTGAACTCTGGGCCTGGCTTGCCCCTCTTCCCGCGTGTCCCCAGCATGTGGAGGCCTTGTCTTTCAGGCGTCAGTGGCTGAGGTGGGAGACTGGGGTTCAGAATCAAGTTCTCCCCGAACCCATTCCCCTGCTGCTGCTGCTGCTGCTGCTGCTGCTGCATGGGTGTCTTCACAGGCGTGAAGGCTCCTCGCACCACATGGCTGTCTCGGCTCTCATGACTCTGTCCCCAGTGGCCCTCGGCTTCGTCACCCTCAGGGTACCACAGACTATCCCACAGGAACCTTTCCACTAGGACACTGCTAGCTATTTTCTCAGTGATGTCTTGCTTTGGAGCTGACAGTCTGGTTTGGGGTTGAGTTTCCAAATCTAAAAGGAACAAAAATGGAGATGTTCCTTAATTTCAGTTTGGGGGGAAGAGTTTGTGGTGGGTGGGTGGCTAAAGACTAAAACTGATGGTTTTGAAAGGCTGAAGGCACAGGTGGCTTTGACCACTTAAAAATACAGCTTTGCAAATCAGGGAAGGAACAGGAGCAGGAGAGAAAGCACAGAGGTAGTCGGGGTGGGGGACCTGGCGTGGAGACACGAAGGGAGCTTGCAAGGGGAGCACACGGAATGAGGACAAGGGGAGATGTGGGGCAGACAGCGAGCATCTAGGGAAGCTGCCGACAGATGCCCCAGGCCCTGGCAAAAGCAGCCTCCAAGTGCCAGGTGATGATGGAGGAGAGCCGCCTCCTGGTGAAGGACCAGCCAGCCAGCCCTCCCACTGCTCAGGTCCAGTTTCTTCTTGGTGGTCTCTTGCTGCTGTTCCACGTCAGCCAGGTGCAAAGAAACCGCCAGCTGCCCCAGCCCGGAGACAGCTGAGATGTGTGTCGCCAGAAGCAGGGATAAATGACCTGAGGCGAACAAGAGGACTTGGGTCTGGTCTGTCGGGTCTGTCTCACCCACTGGGAGCTCCCTGAGGGCAGGGCTTCTGTCCACTGTGGTCACCACTGCACCCCCGCCCACAGCAGAGGCCGGCAGACACGCTGAACAAACAAACAAATGCATCCCTTCCTCCTCCTTCCTGGCAGGACTGCCTTTTGGCCCTGGTACCCAGTCTGCCCTGCACAGCCATGGCCTCAGGGCATGCCGTCCCCACCCCAACACCAGACTGGCCTAAAGGTGTGAGGTGGGCACCCTGCCCGTTTACGTTATGCTCTAATGAAGTGTTCAGAAAAAAAAAAAAAAAGTCACACCAGGTGTGGCTGGCAAAATAGTGGCTCCCAAACATGTCCACGTTCTAATTCCCAGAACCAGTGAGGAAGGAAGGTTGCTAGTCCTCTGACATTAGCTAATCCTCTGCAGTTACCCTGGATTACCCTGGTGGGCCCAAGGCAATCACAAGAGTTCTGATCTGTGAAAGAGAGACACGTAGGAGGGCTGGGGCCAGAGTGACGGGAGAAGACCTCAGGGCCATGCTCACTTGGAAGACGGACAAGGCTGTGAGTCAAGGAATGCGAGCACCTCTGGAAGCTGGAGAGTGAAAGGAAATGGGTTCTTGCCACGCCCTGCAGAAGGAACACTGCCTGCCGCCTCCTGCACTGTAGTGCGGTGACACCCCTTTTGGACTTCTGACCTCTAGAACAGGAAGATAATTCGTGTTGCTTTAAGCCACCACGTTTGTGGTACTTTGTTAGAACAGTCATAAGAAGCTAGTGTCCTAGGTAAGGGCTGGTTACTCCTGGAGCTGGAGAGACTCAGTTGTGACCCCCTCCCACACACTGGCCATTTCTCCTGGGCCCTGGTGATGGGCTGCTGCTTAAACTGGGTCAGGGCCTGACACCAGTGCCAGGAAGCCCCACCTCCTGCAGAGCTGGTACTGGTCTCAGGAGCTGGATAAGATGTACGAAGAACACAGCCCCCACGGGCACGTGGAAAAGCCCAGACTGGATCTACCGACCCACAGATACATGAGTTGTAAAAGATTCTGTGGTTTAAACCACCGAGGCTGGAGTGTTTGTTACATAGGAAGAGCAGGCTGCTGCCCAACCCCAGTGCCTTTGCACTTGCTGTTCCTTCTGCCTGGAATTCTGTTCTGCCAGCTTGTTTCATGGTGGCACTGTTCTCATGACTCAAGGCTCACACGTCACCTCCCTGGAGAGGCTTGCCTCATCTCTGCTCAGGCCCTCCGCACAACCTGGCCTCTGCCTTGTGACCCGTGTTTGCTTCCTCAGCACGCATCATCCACCGTGAGCGTCTTGTGCAGCTATCATTCTACGTCTTTACCGCGTGCCCCTTCCCTCACCAAGAAGGCGAATTCACTGAAGGTCTCCCTCACAGCAGAACAGGTGCTTGGTGCACGTTTACTGAAAGACTGAGTAGTCAATCTGCTCAGAAGAACGCCAGAGGAGATACGGAGACAGAATGCCCCGGGGGGGGGGGGAATGGGCTCCTCCCAGCCCTGCAGGGCTCTCCCCTCACCTGAGCATGTACCCCGGGGCACCCCCTCATCCCCCGCTCACAGCTCCTCCTCCTGCTCCAGCAGGCAGATGACATCCAGCTTGGGGAGCCAGCATCCTGCTCAAGGGGAGACCCACAGGTGCGCCTTTGTGTTCCAGGACCCTTCTCACCCCTCTGTCCACTCCACTTTCCTTCCGGGACCCACCTGGCTGCAGTCCCCAGAGGCCACAGTTGTGGAAGAGGCCCTGGTGTCAGGCCCTGGAGGGACCCCAACCCTGGCTCTGGGGGGATGTGTGACCCAGCCCTGGCCAATCCAAGCTCTGCTGCCTCCCCCGCCCGCTAGCAACAATGACCAGCATGGAGGGGACCAGGCTGCCACACAAGACAACCCACAGGCCTTCCATGGGGGCCCAGGACACAGACCCTGTCTTTTTGGCTGGTCTCAGACACAGAAGAGGCACCGTGGCAGCTCTCCTCACCTCCAGGGGGCCCATCTGTGAACGGAGGCAGAAAAAGGTGGCACTGTCAAGACTCGGCCCTGGACCCAGAGGGAGGAGGTATGAAGGGAGGGGACTCCTGAAAGGCCACAGGAAAACTCGGGTCTACCCTGGGATTCTGCAGTCACAGTACCCACTGTGGCCCTCTTGCCCCATGATTTTCTGCTTCTGGCATTTTCAGGTGGGATCTGTAACTTGCAACCAAACATCAGGAATCTAAGGCCCAAAACTCATCCCAGGTATTTGCTTTTAAGGCCTAGACCTACCCCTACTTTTAACCCAGAAGAATTAGGATCTGTGCTGGGGGCAGACCATCAGGGGTTCAGGTGTGGCCTTACCCACAGAGACCAGGAGCCTGAAGGTCTCCAGCATCACATCGCGGTACAGGGTCCTCTGGGCAGGCTCTAGCTGCCCCCACTCCTCCTGGGTGAAGTCCACAACCACGTCCTCAAAGGTCACTTGCTCCTGAAACAAATGTCACATACAAACAAATGGCCTCACCTAGGCCAAGCCTGGCGATGGCTGCTAGTGGGAGCAGCTACTGGACAGCGACAGCCAAGCTGAGCAGGGGAGGGGTTTTCTCAGGTCCGAGGATTTGGGCCCGGTTTTCCTGGGGGGCCTGGGGGCTCTGCTGGAGGAAAGGGGGTCTTAGGATATGAGAGGACACACCCCAGTCGTGCAAGCACCCCTGAGATGCCATCATGGCAGTGACCAAGGGGGGGGACAGAAAACCTCCCACGCATCAGCTAGAATGTTCCCTGGTGTCCATACCTGCAGTCACCAAGCCGCAGACTCATGTAAATCTGCGCTGTGCATGACGATTCCTGAATACAATGTGGGGTGAAAGAGCCAGTGGAGTGGTGGGAACAAGCAGGTGAACCCAATGGGGGGGTCTCCAGTAACGGGACCTCTGGGAACCGTTTCCTAGTCTTTGATTTTGGACAGTTACATATTGGGGTAAAAACATGACCCCCAAGGAGAAAGGCTAATGGTGGCTCCTGGATGATCCCGTCACTCCCACACTTGTGTTTTCTGAAATCCCACACAAGGCCCATTTCTTCCGTGACTGGGTGGGGAATTTATGATTTTCTTAAAGGCACATGAGGGGCAGGGGCGGACATCCTCCACAAAGGCAGTTTCATCTCACCAAATGACGTGCTGTAGATGGCAGGGGGGGGGGGTGTGTGGGGGGAGCAGAGGCAAAGTCTCGGCCCTCACCTTGACGTTGGGTGTCAAAGACATAGGGTGCCTAAATACTGGATCCTGGCCCAACGGGCAGCATCTGCCTCTGCTAACATTTCTCCCACCAGAGAAGGGGAGATGTGGGGCAGCAGAGGGTATGAACTAGGCATCTGGGGGGTGGCACTATCAAGACTCGTCCCTGGACCCAGATGATTGGGCTTCAAACTCCAGCCCCAGGTCCATCTTTTAAAGTGCTCTGCGCTTCCCTGCCCTCATCTGTGAGTTTGTGAGAACTCCCCGAGAAGGCTGTTGGGAGGAGTAAGGGAATTCACATGATGTGTGTGCCCAGGGCCTGGCACAGAGTGTGTGCTTTACCTGTGTGAGCCACCATTCAGGGAGGTGTGCTGGGGGGCTTGGGGAGGTTTTATTTTCTTTCACCAATTTCCCCATTTCTGCTCTATTTTCCAGACTCAACAGGTCTTAGTGGTTATCTGCAGAGTCCTAGTGAGTGCAGGTCACGGTTCTGGGCACCGCAGATGCCAGGGAAACAAGAGACACACACCTGGCCACGTGGTGCTCGTGTGCTAGTTGCAGGGTCTGGGCGCTGACAAAAAATGAAATCCCAGGAGGGGTCAGTGCTCTAGAGAAAATGGGTGGGGCGCTGCTGGAATAGCCACGCAGAGGTCTGGCAGAAGAGCCGCGAAGGCAGTGGGATGTTTGCTGAGCGCTGGGGGTGCTGGTGGGCACACGTGGTCTGACCTGGGCCCAGGCGTCCTGAGGCTCAGGCCCGGCTCAGCCACTCTCAGCTGTGTGGCCTCAGGGCTGTGACGTGCCTCTGGGTCTTAGTTTCCTCCTTCCAACCTCATGGGGCTGATGTGGGGCAGGATAAGGTGAAGTGTGCTCAGCACTGACCTCAGGCTTTGGCACATTTCCACCCATTCACTGAGTGCCTACTGTGTTCTGGGCCTTTGCACGTCGCAAAGATGATCAGAACTGCTTCCCAAGGCCCTAGGCCCCCGGCAGGTGGCCTAGGGGCCCTTGTTCTCGGTCTTCCCGTTACATGTGTGCGCTTGCCCCTTACGGAAAGTGCCCAGTTGGTTCCACCTCCAGGCCTTTGCTCATGGTATTCCCCCGGCCTGGAACGTTATTCCTGTGGGCCTTGACCTCACTGCCTGCCCCCCTGCAGGTCTCTGTTTGGGGGCCGCTTCCTCAGGGAGGCCTTCTGGGCTCTATTGGCTAATGCCTAGTGCCCAAGCCCACCCTCTTCTGGGCCTCACTTCCCTGCACAACACTTGGCACATTGACATTCCTCGTAGGGACTGTAAGCCCCAGAGGGATGGTGATTTTCTGCTCGTCTGTTCCTGTACCTGCAGTTCCTACAACAGTGCCTGGAAGGGCACCTGGTCAGTGGCAGGTGCTAAGTCCCTGTCGCCTAAGGGACTGGATGGAGAGAGTGAGCTGGGAGTACACACCCGAACCCTGTGTTGAGAAAGCGCCAGACACATCAGTGGAATGGTTGAGTGCTGTCTGCCAGGGTAGAACAAGGCAGGTGAAGGAATCAGGAAGATCCTCTCAAAGGTGGTGAGGTGGGAGATCTGGAGGAAGATGGAGCTGGCCAAAGCACATTCCTGGCAGGAGGCAGAGTAAGGGTGAAGGCCCCGAGAGCAGAATGAGTCTGGTGGGGACCTGAGGAAGCCTGGGAGGCCTGATGGGAGGGTGGTGGTGTACTCACCGGCGCCCCGGCAGCGAGGAGCCCAGCAGTCATTCCCTCCTCCTCTGGCCTCTTACAGGAACAGCCAGCTCCTCCGTAGGCAGTTCTGGGGGTAAGGGGATGCGAGAGACTGGGCGAGTGCTTGCGGTGACCAGAAACCCCACGCCCTGGAATCCGTGTGCAGGTAGGAGGGGTTGTAGCTGCTAGAGCCTGGAGCCCTGCACCCAGGCCAAACCCCACAGCACTGAGACCTCAGCTTGGCATTTTCCAAGCACCTGCTGTGTGCCCAGTACTATTCCAGGCATTGTTGACAGATTACCTTGAATTTTCCTACCCCATTTCACAAATAGGAAAACTGAGGGCCACGGGCGGGCAAGGGGCACACCCCCAGTTGTCTAGGTGGGTGATGACTATTTGTTACTATGACAGAAAGCTAGACGGTTATGGAGACGTTAGGCACTGCCTCAGTTTCCCCCTCCTATAAAATGAGAGTGGTGACCCAGCACAAAGATTATAGGAATTAGGGTGTGGCAAGGGCTGAATATGGAGCCTGGCACACAGCGGTATACACGTGAAGGCAGTCGGTGCTGGAAGAAAGCCTCTTTCTTCAGCCAGCGTCTACTCAGCGTCCACAACATGCAGGGCCCTCATCCCTGGCTGAGTGCCCCGTATGAAACTCAGGCCCAAGGTGGTAAGCATTCCCCTTGTCTCTCTGCACCTCCCCTTGACGATGCTTCCTAGGCACCCAAGTCGGCCCCATCCCACTTGTGTCCTGTTTGCACAGCAGTTTCCAGGATGGGAGTGACCTTGTTGGGTGATGGGTCGACAGGTTTCTTATCATTTCCCTGACTCTCCTGGGGGCTCTGGGGCCCGAGACAATATTCGGGGCTCTTGGGTTTAGGACAGGGCCCGGCCCCCCGGACATGTAAATACGTGCTTGCTGAATTAATGAAGGAGCCTGGACGGAACTCAATGACTAACATAAGGAGTCTGGTTCCTGGGTCCTAGGCGGCGAGGAGTAAAGTGTTGCGCTTTGGTCTCCCTCACGATCACCCTGAGAAGCCGCTCAGTAAGGTGAAGCTCCAGGGATGACTTCGCAGTGGGGCCTCGGCCCTCCCCCCCCTCCAAATCCCGGACGTCCCACCAAAGCAGGGGAAGGATGCAGGTCAGGCTGGCTCCAGTCTCTGAAGGGTCGGACCGGCTAGCATCTCTGGGGCCCCGAAGCCGGAGGCTCCCACCCCGTTTGCCAACGCCGGGGCCCCACCCCGGCCCCAACTCCTCCTCTCGAACCCGGAGACACCCCCACCCCCACCCCGGGCCCCGCCCACCAGGCCCCGCCCCCACCGCCCGCACCGCCCGCACCGCCCCCGAAACAACCAGCCCCGGGCCCAGAGCAGCCAAGGGGACTCTACAGACGCACGCGGGAAGACCCCGGATGCCCGCCCGTCCCGGCCTGCCCCGTTCCGACCACCCGAGTCTCACTCACCAGCCGGACGGCAGGACAAAGGCCGCGGCCGCCACCAGCCGGGTCTGGGCCTGCGCGGGACGGCGCCCAACTACATCTCCCAGAGGGCGGCGCGCGCACTTCCGGTTGTTTCCGCGCTCGCCTCGCCCCCGCCCGGGGCAGTGGCTCGTGCGTTCGGAGTACGCGCTCGGCCTCGAGGACCCCCGCCGGCCTTAGCCTCCCCTCCCCGCCCCAAAACCCTTCCACGCCGCATTCCCTTGTCTGGTGGCCGGACGGAGGCCACGCCCGCGTTTGGCCGGGACTGCGCCTGCGCAGGCGGGCGCCGAACTACAACTTCCAGAGGCCCACGCGCGGGTTCCGTGCACTTCTGCCCCAGCCGTCCGGTCGTGGGGGAATCGAGTTCGAGTTTCGACGACCGTGCTCGTGGCGTGGTCACGAGTGTCCGGTCCCCGCGGGCTGTGCCGTGGGTCCCGCGAACGTCGCCCCCGCGCTCTTACAGCGGTAACTGGCCGGGGACCAGTGTAGACAGAGCGGTCGGGGGGGTCGGGGAGGACGCTGAGCAGAGGCCGTGGGAAGATCCCGAGGAGCAGTGTCCGCGCGGGGGGCGCAGCCGGGCTGAGGCCGCGTGGGCAGGGCCTGTGAGTGAGGTGAGTCCTCTGGGAGCAACGACATACTGCTTTCGTATTGGAAACTGTGCCGTAAACTTTATTGTTGTAGAACAAACTTGTGTTTCCAAAAAACGACGAAAAGTGTGCAAGACACAAAAATGACACACAAAATTAGATACATTCGCTAAGATGCCAAACAACAAGAGCCGTTTACATTTTGCCACGCCGACCCGTCCTATTTAGGACGTGGTTGTAGAAACATCCCGTGGTAGACACGTTTTACATCATTGTCAGGTGTGTGCATTGGAACAGCAGCATAATATTCAAAGCTGATGTGTCCTCATTGACTGAATTCGTCATTGGCCGAACATCGACCAGGGCTTGCCAGGCGCTGGGCCCAGGTTACGGCAGCCAACGGTGGACCAGGCGCCAGTGGACAAGGTGTGCGCCTTCGCCATTCACCCACTCAAGCCAGACTTCCTTTCACTGATGTGCATGGACCATCCCTAGAGCAGTGAGTGGAAAGAGTCTAACCAAGGCTGAGCCATGTGCACTTGCCCCATTAAGAAAGACTAATTGATTCAAGTCAGGGCTTGCATGCTGGATTTGAAGCTGAGAAAAAGTGTCAAGGCAAGGGCATTTTTTCTTTGACTGTAACAACAATTTGAAACAACTCTGACTCTGAAAACAGCAGAGAAGACAGTAGGAATTCTCACGTTAGGGAAAAACCTAGCTGGCTACCTTTTATTTACACATAAAGACACTTAAAATATTAGGGTGGTTCTCAATGAGTAAAAAACTTTAAATTTCGTAAGCCCGACAGCGGTGGTTGTTATGAAAAAATATGATGGATGGCTCAAAATCAGAATGCACTGATGTAAACAAGGCAAAGACAAGCTTAACGGCTTTTCTTTAAAGTGTTTTGTACATTCAAAGACATAAAGGCCCACATTTGTGATTGTCATACTGAAAGCCCATCTTCTCTTCTCTGTACTACAGTATGAAGGCTTTAAAATATACGTAAAATGCCAGTTATCAGTTCTTTCACCTGCAAACCAAAATGCAAAAAGAGACTTATTTTTTCTGTTAGTTTTTTCTTCCACAAAATGTGTACTCTTCCCCCACCCTCCTTTTACTGTATCAGAGGGCGTGTACACACTACTCATGATGGAATCTTTTCCCCAAAAGGTCTGCACAGAGTCCTGGTAATGAGCTGTTGATTGTGGTGCCACACAGACTTGCCTGCTCATGGGGACATACCCCAGCCCTAATATTGAGCCAGGTTGCCCTGCTTAGCTCCTTTGGGACTTGCCCCTCTGTTGTCTTCCTCTACCCTCCTAATCCTTGTTTATTTCCAACCAGCTTTCACAAACTCAAATGCCTGCGGGGGCTGGGCTCTAAAGGGATGGGTGCTGATGGTCTCAACCAACTGGTGCCATATGAACAGGTAAGCCCAGTGTACCAGGTCTGTACTTCTCAAAAGAAGCCAAAGATTTGGATTTGTGTGTGAAATCTCTTGATTCACAGGAAATTCAAAGAGTTTAAAAACACTATCAATTAAACAAGATGATCTGAAGGCTAGCTCTGTGTTGCCTCCACCCCTCCAGACCATGTTGTAGCCAGTGGCTGGGCCCCACTTATGCCAATCTCAGCTTCCTCTAACCACAGGGGTCGCCTCCACCTGGTTGTGACAGGACCGCACCAGGAGCAGTTGCATTAGGAATCAGTGTAGGTTTCAAGGAATTCTATAATCATGTCACGGATAGCACAACTTCATTACACAATTTTTGTTAAATTGTTCGATATATACATTTAAATATATTACAGTGTTTAGCCTTGTATGTATATTTCATCCTTTTTTTTAAAAAAAAAATCATTTTGGGAGCCTCAAAGCCTAGCAGTGCCCAGGCCTCGGCTCCCAGAGGCCCTGACTGTGGTGGGGAGGAGGGTGGTATGTTTGCCTCTGGTTCTGGAGCGGGAGATGATGAGGACTTGCACTGCATCACAGCACCCAGTACCTGGCCCAGCAGATGCTCTGTGACAAGCGCTGGAGGACAGACAAGGAGGCTGAGGAGTGTCCCAGTGGGCAGGTGTTGGGGTCCTGCAGGGGACACTGGCAGACGAAAGCGGAGCGTGAGCCAAGCATGCATGGAGTGAGCAGAAAGAGAAGAGGGGGGCTGGTGGTCTACCTCACTACAGCTTGAGCAGCATCTTGGGACTAGGCAGGCTGGGCAGTTAACTCAATTTAGCAGCTTTGGTGAATCGGGATTCTGAGGAGTGACTCTTCAGGGCCAGGACCCTGGGCCAATCCGTGCCTGTGTCAGCCAAGGCAGAGAGTGTTGAGGGTGGCCTTCCGTGGTGCTTCCTGCCACCCCATCTCCTCAGAGGTCCAAGTAAGGTTCCTTGGCTGATCACTGAAGCCCTGAGGTGGGGTCTTGGCAGTGGCTGCAGCTCACTTACTCATTTGATTACCATTCACCCATTCTCACTCGCAAAGGGCTGCTCTGTGCTGGGCACTAGTAAAATGCTCCAGTGAAGACTGTTCTGGGCAGAGGGGGCAGCCCTTGAGGAGGGGAGGAGGCCCAGCATGGGAGTCACTGTGGAGACAGGCAGGGACAGAGTGGGTGCAGGAGGCCAGCCTACACCACCCCAGCGCTGGGGGCTACTGAAGCAGGAAGGGATTCGAGGGAACTGGTCGGCTGGGCTTTATGTCATCTCAGTGTGGCTGTTTCAGAGGGATCCTGGCGGCTGCTGGTATTGGGTGGAATGGAGGGAAATGGGCTGGAGGCAGAGTTTGCTTAGAGGCAGCTGCAGACATTCAAAGATGTAAAAAAGAAGATAGAAGAAAGGGAGGCTGGGGCAGTTAAGTGCAGAGGAGAGAAGAGAACAGGGTGATCCTTGGGCCTTGGAGGGTGGAGGGATGGCATAGGGGAGGCAGTTGTTTTTCTTTCCATCAAGAGTTCTTTGGACAAGCTCAGATGGAGGACTGAGGGACATCAGGCAGATGTCTCTGGAGGGCAGTTGGTCTGTGGGATGCCCGGGCAGACATCTTCCGAGAACCCCATCTTTGGACCTGTTAGCGTGAGGATGGCTGGGGCCCATGGCAGTGAGGGGCCTGACTGACGTCTTGTGGGCAGCAGCCTCCACTCTCTCGTACAATCCTGCTTCAACCCAGAGAGCGGTGAATGTGCCTCTGGCTTAGGGGGAATTAGAATGAAAAATGCATTGGAATAAACCTCTGGGCCCCAACAAGTGGGGACACTGCGATTTCTTTGTCCACATGTCCTGTCATTTTAAACAAACCTGTCCATCATGTGTGCTGTACCTGAAGAATCAGGGGCTGACTGTAGGGCCAAGACCCCTACCCTTGTCACCTGAGCTCCAAGGAAGAAACCCTGCCTCAGCAGGATGAGAAAGAAGGTGCTTAGGAAAGAGCTGGAGCCCACGAGAAATTAAGGCATGGAGTAGAGCCAGAAGCCCCCAGTGAGGACTTCAAGGATAAGCCAGGATGCTGGAGTGAGCCGCAAGCAAGGTCTGGAGGCCCAGCTAGTGAGAATTCCAAGAAGGCAAGCACGGCGAAGGGTGCAAAGGCAGTGGAGGGATCTGCATGGCCCAGGACGGAGCTAGGGGACAGAGGCTACAAGTGGGATGCAGGAGGCAGCGTGGTGGAGAAGCAGCAGTGGGCCGGGCAGGGCAGATCCAAAGGCTTTTCCAGTTGAAAGGCAACTTATGGATGATTTAAAGGAGAAGGTCTCTGCTTACATGTGGTCAGAGTCAATCCAACACTATTTCCAAGTAAAGTTCAAAAAACAAAATAAAAGAACAAAAAAACTTGTAAGGCTTTCATTTACATGGGGCAAGTGGTGCCCAGCAATGAAGAGCTGGGGATGGATGAAAAGCCGAATCCAGGTGCGCACACGCTGTCCCCAGAAGTGGTAGGGTAAACTGAGGTGCTTGGGAGACCCCACACCTGCTCTTGGGAAATCCAGGGTGACGATAATGCCAGATTTTTATGTGACATCTATGATTTGAAAAATGTTGGCATTTAGCTAAAAAAAAAAAAAGTCATTCTGTGAATCAAAATCACGTGCTGGTCAGATTTGGTTGGACCTAAAAACCCTGCCCGAAATCCATCCAGAAAGAAAGCAGATTAATAGGTGTCGGGGGCTGAGGGAGGGGAGATGGGGAGTGACTGCTAATGGGTATGGGGAACCCTTTTGGGAGTGATGAAAATATTGCAGAATTCCAGAATACAGGGTGGTGATGGTTGCACAACGTTATGCATGTACCTAATGCCACTGAATTGTGCATTTTAAGTAGTTAAAATGGCAAGTTTTGTTGTGTGTACTTTGTCGTGAAAAAGGAATGGGGAGACAAAAAAAAAAAAAGAAAAAAAAAAGAGGAAAGTTCCACATAAAAGAGCCCCACGCGTGTGCCAGGCTTCCAGGGGCTGGGCGGGCCGCAAGCCTCCCGCGGAGCGCGGGAGGGCGGCCAGGTCAAAGGCACCGAGGCCGACCTGGCGCCCCGGGAAAGGCTCCTGGAACCGGTGGCGCCGG